GAAGACATTCCCCATTGCATTGGCAGTAAATCTGGATCGTGCCTTCTGTGCAGTCTGAGTTTTTTTTCTGTATAGAGAGTAGATAGGACTGCAGAAGGGAAATAGCAAACGTACAGATATTTTTCAGGGTTTGTGTGGTAGAAATAGCAGTCTAGGGAAGGAATACCAGAAATTTTCCCAACTGAGTTGCTTAAAATGAGGGCAGCACTGTTTGTATTAATATGCAGGCATGGATGCACATTGTGTGAGATCCTATCTTTGTCATTGCAACCCAGCCCTCTTTAATTCCTCCTTTTCCATAAGAACTAGAACGTGATATAGTGCATGCTGGAGTTAGGTTGGGGAGTTAAGGGGGGAAGTTTTTATTCCCTCCTATCAATTCATGGAGGTATTGAACCTAGAATGCTATCAGCCCAAGAGTAGGTGGATCTCAAACTCTCAAATGGTTTTGTCTTGGAAATCACTGCCAAAATTCTTTGAGGGCCACCATGTACCTCATTATCAACATTTCACCTGGAAACACTTCCAAGGCTTATGGCCCAAAGGTTACTTTCCTAACCAACCAAAAAATCAAATCATGGTTTCATCTTGTCCTGCTGGGCTCTAGTGCTGACCCAGAACACTGGGTAGAACAGTCCATGCAAAACCCCTAGAGCTCCAGTCCTGTCTGGCAGGGCAAAGGAGAACCCAATTGCTCTTCAGCAATGTGCGTGCAGCCATCACAGTCTTGCACACTGTTTCCATCTGCGAAGGAATTGCACCAGTGCTGCCATAAAACCCTCCACAAATGTCAAGCATTTGGAAAGTAATAAAAGAGAAAAGAGAATATTTTTTATATTTCCCAGGTGCACCATGAAGATGAGGCATTTCTCTCCCTTTTCTGTATGTTAGCATAATCCTGTCCAATAAAGTTTGCATCCGCTGTTGGTAGGGTCTTTGAGGAGAAGCAGAAAATGTGTTGTCCCTAGGAAGCACAAAAGGGCTCTGATCCATGCTGCTGGTTCTCAGAGGGGTCACTGGTGGGTGCTAATGCTCCGAATGTGCCACTGGTGTCCCCACAGAGGGCCAGTGCTTTGGGATGTTGCCCAGATCTGACAAGGTGGGTGTCAAACCATGGGGACAGAGAGAGCACGTGGGGATGGAGGCCACACACCTCCCGTGTTTGCTGATGCTGGCTCCATAAAGAAAGCTGTAAAAATGCCAGTCCAACACATTTAACTCAGCCGTATTATATGATGGAGGGAATTTTTCAAATCCCTCCCGTGATGTCTATAAAAACTGTTCTGCAATGATTCACAGCTGCCTTGCACTTACACTGCCCAGATCTGTCTTGCTGCTCCTCTGGGTCCCCAGCTGGTTCCTTCCATCTCCATATCTTGATGGAAAGCCTGAGGGCTCATGTCCTGCAAGGCTGAGGAGGGAACACATGAAAATACCCCAGAGGGAAATGGGATGCTACCAAAATGATCCCTGGCAGTCCACAGCGTGCTGCTGGATGAGCAGAGGAACCACCGTACACAGGCAGTGATTGGCAGGGATGGAAAGAGTTTTGGAGTCTTTTAGTATTTTCTAGTTACATGCTAACTTTATCCTTTTCTAGCTTCTTGGGGATATCCCCCCAAAAAGGATTCCTCATTTCTTCTGAGACCAGTATGGATTTTAGTGGGACAAGCTTCTGAGTTCATATTCCTATCTCTGTGAGCAACTGCACATGCTCCCCTCTGCCCTGGCTATGTCTGATACCTGTGCAAGCTCTTTGCCATGGTCTGGATGGATCACATTAAGGCAAGGGAAGGTTAATGGTGGTGGAGGCACCAGCACATGCACCACACATTGGTCTCTCCAAGCACAGATGGGCTGTGGCTGCCATAACTCTGGGTTTTCTCCTCTCTTTTGGATGTGGAAATTTTGTCAGGGTGAAGCTTAAGGGCATTAATCCAAGTATTTGAGTTTGTGATGTTCATTCAGGAGGGAAATGCTCTGATGGACACCTGTGTAGATTCATACAACAGAGACCAGGAGGTAAACCTAAGGTGTCAAGTGCATAGGAGTTACAGGCTGCACACGGACAGTCTGTGATGCAGAGCCTACAGATTTCCATCAGGACAAAAATACGGTGAGGAAACTGTTGGAAGCCACGGCAGCACATCTGGGCTGCAGTGCCACCAGGTCCACCTTGCAGAGGTGAGACAAGCAGGGCTGAGACCCGCCAGGGCACCTGCTCAACCCATCCCAATACTGCAAACCGGCGGCTTGTCTCGACAATCAAGTCCACAGAAAGTCATACAAACATTTTCCCTGTCATCTGCTCCCACCTGCTCTCTAAAATGCAATGGAAATTATGAGAAAAATATTTTTCCCTGCTGTGACACCCCCAAGTCAGCTTCAGGAGGGGCAAACCAGCAAAGGCTTCGCAGAAGCACAGACACACTCAGAAGTGATTAGCTTGAAAAAAAATGAAAACATAAAGGAAAAGAATATGTATTTTTCTGGAATATGAGACAGATTTAATCTTACTGAGCTCACTAATGTTTCTTTTTAAGGCTGTTTTAGTTCTTGTATCAGGCAGAGGTCCTGCAGGCGGATCTACGCTCTGCTCTCAAGATGAAATAGCAACAGGGGTTAATATATTGCAGGCAGCAAAACGGGAGACTATTTGCTCATCTAAACAAGAAGCAACTGAAGAAGTCCCTGTTTCAGGGCAGGAAGATTAAACCATCAGGTGCTCTGGCCAGGCAATAACCCACTGAAACACCCTGTCAGCATCTAAAGTGGAGGATGTCAGGCTACTGGTGGAAATATTGTGAGGATTAATATACTTAAGTGCAGAGTTAGCTATCAGCTCATGTTGGCCACGAATAATACAATTTACCACACAGCTGGTGAAGGAAAGCAGCGATATGAGATCCCCGGTTCTGTGCCCACAATCCACGTGGTGCCGTCAGCAGTGCAGCCGCGTGCGTCTTTGGCTATCCCTGAGAAGGGCCACTCTCTTCTGGGAAGTGGAAATCTTCTGGAAAGTGGAAAGCATCCTAGTCTGGGAATGGGGGGGCATCTCCGCCCATGCTGTTTCCCTGCCAGCTCCAGGGAAAAGGGATAATCAATTGGGTATAATGCCATGGGATGGGAATATGTGTGTGTGGTGTATGGTGCACTGGCCCATGAGTTCCGTGCTCACATTAGGGGAGATCTGGGACCAAATCAGTTCCTCTGGGAGAGATCATGCTTCCGTGGGCAGTAGCATCTCCACACAAACAGTGTTTAGTTGGAGATAGGTTATACTGAAAGTATATGTGTCTAACCTTTCTCCTTAGTTTTGGAGGACAAATCCTAGAATTCTAGAATCATTATGGTTGGAAAAGACCTTCATGATCACCAAATCCAACTGTAAACCCATCGCCACCATTCCTGCTAAACCATGTCTCTAAGTGCATGGTCTTACACAGGCAAATACTGGAGGGTTAAAGGGAACTCCACACGGACCAGTGGGTATCTCCTTCTCCTGTCCCAGGCCCATGTGGGTTAATAGTTCTCAGATTCAGGATCCCTAAATAAGCTCCTAAAAGAAGATGGGTTGAGGGAGGGGAGCTGCTTTGGCCTGACTTGGTGCCGCTGGCACAACCACCCACCGAAAGGCAGGCGGGTGGGTATGGGACCATGACCATCTCCTTATGCATCCTTGTTGTAATTGCTCCCACACGGCTTTCAAAGCTGTGTCTCAGGCCACCAAGAGAGTTTAAGGGACTAGAGATCCTTCTGGGTAGTGGATTTGAGTTATGGGCTGCAGGCATCTTCTAGGACAAACAAATACTTAAAATAAACATGCTGCCCATGCTTGCTAAACTCTGAAGAAAGTCATAAAATCTATTCCTGAAATCTGCAGAAATCAGAGCTCAGCTTGAGGCTTTTTCAAAGCCATGTCTCCCTCAAACCAGCACGCACAATTTCTGCAAACTTTTAATCTTGCCTGTTCTGTAAAATTCGGCTTTACACACAGAGACTCCCAAAACACAGGAAAAGGAAAATGTCGAGCAAATGGGCGCAGCTGAAAATGCTTTTTCCAAATACAAATGCTGATCGCTCAATCCAATGTCCAACATTAGCCAAACCTGTGAAGCTGATAAATCTCATAACCACGGGTTTGTCTCTGCAGCAGAGGAAGTGTTTATCCTCAGTTGTCTAAACCTGATTTAAAAAGCAAATGAGCTGGATACCAGTTAGTTTACAGAATCATTTCAACCTGAACTCACCTACGGGCTGGAATAAGAGTTGAAATCAAAACTGATATCCAGTTCTAGTACCTTTAGCTTACATTATTTAACCCAGTTTAGTAAGTCTCAGAAAGATAGGTAGTTTATTAGAGCAGTTCAAGAAATACCTCAAGCTTCATAACTCTACAGAGAAGTCAGCAGACCAAGCATTAAGTCTCCATGTCCACCCTGTTCAGAACAGCAGAGAAGGGAAGGGGGGAAGGCACTTTATATACCTAGACTGTATACCAAATACAATGATATAAAATAAATGTTTCAAGTAATCAGGTATCTCAGATGCTACAAAGCTCAACAGTCAGAAGGCATTGCATAAATGTACTAGAGTTTCTTAGTGCTACTGCAGTTTAAAACGGAATGCATTTGCCTGTTTTCCACAGGCAGGTTCCGTGTCCTTTCCTCCGGGTAAGCTCCAAGTTACTATTGTGCAAGCGCAGGGACTGCGCAAGGACACAGCACAGCTAATTCTGGCTGTTCCTATGAGAACGAGCAGCTGAGTGGTCCTTAATTCACATTCACTTATTCCCCCCCAGGTCTGCAGTAAGGAGAATTTGGACCTGTGTCCAGCCTTGGGAAACCCCATGGCCACCCTCACATTTGGGCTATCTCCTGCCTGGCACCTCCCATGCATGGGGCATCCTCAGCTCCCACTATCTCTGGTAGGAATGGGATTGGACCTTGATTACAAGGACCTGAGCTTGGCAGCTCTGGCCTGGTGTTTGGAAACCCTACCTGATAGACGGCTCTGGAAATGCACCATGGCTTCAGCATGAGCTGCAGGACCCTCAGATTTCCAACGCGGCAGGTCCTCAAGGCCCGCGAGGTCAAGTTCCACACCAAGCTGTCCCAGCTGTAGAGCAGATCCTCAAAGCCAAAGAGCACTGCAGCCATGCCAGCTCCCTGTGGGAAACACCCGGCTCCCTGCTCGGCGGCGATCCGCTAATCCCCAGGCGCCTTATGAACTGCTAGGTTAAAAAGCCGCCGCACTTTCCATCAAAGGAGGAGAAAGGAAAAAAGAAAAACAAAAGCCTCAAAAAAAAAAAAAAAACCACCCAACAACAAAAAACAGCAGCCAAAGCAAACTGTTTGGGGATATGTCTTTCTCCCTCCACACACACCCTTCAGGATGTGGTTTCTCCACGCATATATCTTCTCAGTGTGGATTCTGTTGCATGCAGGAATGAGCAGGGAAAAGGTAAAAAAGTCTGTCCTGGCTTAGGAAGGCAGTTGCACATCCCACGCAGGGCTCCTTGGTTCCACTGCATCCCTGCTCGTCACTCCGCTGCGGAACCGAGAAACAAGCTCCGGATCCAAAGTCATCACTTTGAAAGCTAAGTCCTGGGACTCCATCCAGAGGGAGGAAAAGAGCTGCTCGCTCTCCCTCTCTCCCTCTGCCAACATTCCCAAGACATTCCAGTATTGGGCTTAACTCTTTCAAACACTCCCAAATAACAGCTGAGCAGGCAGCTTTGCCGCATGCAACGTTTCATCCTTTTGTTTTGCACATTGACTAGCCATTGCACAGTTACTCTCTGGTCTTTTTCTTTCCAGCCAGCTGCCTCTTTTGGAGCATTTATATATTTTGAACTAGGAATAATACTTCATCTTTATATGAGAATTATGTAACTGTCTGCAAAGCAACATTATTTACTGAAGGGCTGGTATCTTGGAGAGTGGCACAGATTAAATTATGCCCACTTAAAATCAGTCTGGTTCATCTGGTGGGGACATATTTTAAATGTTATTTAACTTATGCTAATAAGTATGGGATGCATTTCAATCAACATAGAAGGATGCAGTACAGTACTTTCCATCTGTGCCGGATGCCAAAGTGCCTTTATAGAGGCAGATAGTCGCTTCTGGTGTGAGGTTCTGTGTGGTAAAGTAGGTTTAATAATCAGTGGACAAACTGAGGGACAGAGCAGAAGTGTTTCTTCCAAAGCCACAGCACAAGCTAGCAACTTTGGAAACAGCTGCCTGTCAGTGCTATTTTGCACCCATTTCACTCTCCCTTCAGGGGAATGTGCGTAAAAAAGGCAGTGGGGCAGGCAAGGAGCAGATGGGAGTCAGCTGGTGAGTGCCTGCACAGAGGCACTTCTGAGGAGGGAGTTTTTAGAGGAGATGAGACAAGGGCACGTCTAGCTGAACTCATAAGGACTTGTGAGCACTGATGCCCTCAGACCACTGACACAGGTTTCTCATCTAACAGAACTGAGAACCAAGTCAAAGGAGGGCACCAAATAGCTGAATAGTAGGAGTTGGAAGGTAACTCTGGAGATGAACCAAGGCACCTCCCCACCTCCCCACCCCACTCTTAAGCAGCTTGTCCAGCTGGGTTTTGAATGTTTGCAAAGATGCCCAGCTCTTCAGGCAACTCGTTCAAGTGTTTGACCACCCTCACAGTAAAGCAAGTGCTTTTTTAATGTTCAGATGTA